GCTTCGGCTGTTCGTGTATGTAATTACTGTATCCAATGGCGCCAATACTGTATCAAAGTAAACGTAAATCTAAACCTTCAGAATTTATGTTACATTTTTGTTCAGTCAATACGTCATTTGTGGTAGTTCTAGTTGCAGGAAATATGACAACCTTGCTTTAGTTTGATTATTTTTCAGGTACTTGGCATTTACAAATACTTTTAACCTATTATTTTTAGTTTGCACGCTGTTGTACCTACATTTATTAAAATTAAATGACGCGAGAGATTAGCGTAGCAACTCACAGTGAGCTTGGTCGCCATTAGACTTGTAACATGTCTCTATATATAGACTATCTAGTAGCAAGGTGTAGAGATAGGGTACCAGTCTATGCCGCCAGCAATTAACATCGTTACAGCTGAATTTTAAGGACCGTCTAACAACGCACCGGCATAAGTTTCGTGAAACACTTTAACGAGGGACGTTTAGGACAGTGTTAGGCTCTCGTACAAGAATTCCAAGGATACACTTAAGATGGTGTTTTTACGATAGCTTCGTGAAACGGGCCCCATGTTTCTTTGTCTGGGTTAAGAACCTCCGCGAGAAATATGCAACAATGGCGACGAATGGATGGGATTCAACGTCAAACAAAGATGTGTAGATGAAGAGGAGAATTCGTAGGTAATCTAAATCAATGTGAAGAACTAGATACCATTACGGTTGCCACGAAATTGCCGGCCTGCACTGAACTTTCGAGTCGGACTGTTACTGCCAGAAATTATTGATCGCCGTCGACAGAACCAGCAGTTTGTGTATCCTCTGTACGTACTGTACGTGTAGTGTGCCTCCAGATACAGCACCACCACCACCGCCTGCCAGGATGAATGCAATGATAGGAAATGTGGGTGAGTTCGACCCTAAACGTGAAAAATGGTCAAACTATAAAAATAGGCTTGAACTATGGATGAAGACCAATAAGATAGAAACTGATCTGAAAGCAGCTACTCTGTTAACGATAGTAGGTCCGGACATATTAGAGACAGTTTCAAGTTTGGTGTTTCCGAACGATGTCATGACGCGCACCTATGAGGAATTAGTTGCCGCTCTAGAAGGACATTTCACGATCACAGTAATGCCACTAGCCGCAAGGCTGAAGTTTACGTCGCGTAAACAGAAGGAGACTAAATCACTGTCCGATTTCATTGCTGATTTGAAGCGTTTCACCGTCGATTGCAAGTATACGGCAGAGGACAAAGTAGAGGCACGTCTACTAGAGACTTTGTGTCACGGTGTTAGGAACGGGAAGATTACGAAGCGACTACTTGATGAATCAGTAAAAGGTGATCTTACGTGGAAATCAGCATGCAGAAAGGCTCTTGACATGGAGATGGTCGATAAGGATTTAAAGGGGTACTCCACCGATCATAACGTTAACCGTGTCAAACCAGGCAAGTACAGTAAACAACAGAGGAGCAAAGAATCGCAACCTCCATCTCGACCCATGGCTACTGGCAGATGTACGCGATGCCATGGTGATCATGACGCGAAAGACTGTTTCTACAAACACCAGACGTGCCACACATGTGCGACTCAACGTGAATGGTGTAGATGTAAATTTCACGCTTGATACTGCAGCGTCAGTCACGATAATAGGTGAAAATACCTACTACAGGCACTTCAGTTCACTGAAATACACAGCATCAGATGCGAATCTGGTCAGTTATAGTGGTAAAAAAATCGACGTGCTTGGAGATATCAAGGTTTTCGTGAAGTACAAAAATGCAGAGAAAATGTTTGCGCTTGATTATTGCCAAGGGAAACAAAGTGTCTCTGCTTGGTAGAGATTGGTTGAGTGAGATCAAGTTAGAGTGGTCTGAAATCTTCACTATTAGTTCCAACCAAAATCGCACTGTCGAGAAGTTAGTTGAGCAATATCACAAGGTATTTGAAGGACAGCGTACCATCAAAAGGTTTAAGGCAGAAATCCAGGTCAAAGACGGCACCAAACCGGTTTTTCACAAACCTAGGCCAGTGCCTTATGCATTGCGCGATTCTGTAGAGGAGTTAGTTCGACTTGAAAAATCCGGTGATGTGGAAAAAGTGGATCGAAGTGATTGGGCTTCACCAATCGTGGTTGTGCCCAAGGCAGACAAAAGTGTCCGTATATGTGGAGACTACAAGGTCTCAGTCAATCTCCACATTGTGGATGAACCGTATCCACTGCCCACTGCTGAGGATATTTTCGCTAAGTTAGCTGGGAAGAAGAGGTTCACTGTCTTGGACTTGAGTCATGCATATTCACAACTCGAGGTTGAGGAAAACTCGCGCAGTTTTCTGACTGTGAACACTCATAGAGGTTTATACCGCCACTGTAAACTTCCATATGGGATCAAAACAGCGCCGCACATATTTCAGAAAGTGATTGATCAGGTGTTAGCTGGACTTGAGGATGTGGCCAGTTTTCAAGATGATATCATCATTGCTGAAGATGATGATGACGAATACTTGAAGTCACTTGATTTGGTACTGGAGAGACTAGCCAAGTACGGTATCAAACTCAAACGTGTCAAATGTCGGTTCAACATGACTTGGGTCGAATATCTGGGTCATAGGATTGATGCTGAGGGAATTCATCCGACACAGGACAAGGTCGACGCGATTGTGAATGCTAGGGCACCTGAGAACATAAGCGAACTTCGGAGTCTGTTAGGGTTAATAAACTACTACGGGAAGTTTCTGCGTAATCTGTCCACAAGATTGGAACCGTTACACCGTTTATTGCGTTCAGAGTCGAAATGGGCGTGGTCTAGTGACTGTCAGAGTGTCTTGGATGAAGTGAAGAAGGAACTCTCTAGTGACAAAGTACTTGCTCACTATGATCCTAAGCTGAAACTGAGTTTAGCTTCTGATGCCTCCCCTTACGGCGTGGGAGCGGTCTTGTCACAGACTAGTACAGATGGGACTGAACGTCCTGTGGCATTTGCGTCGAGGTCACTGACTACAGCGGAACGCAACTATGCTCAGATTGAACGTGAAGCAGCCGGAATCGTGTTTGGTGTGAAGAAATTCCACAAATATCTGTACGGTCGAAAATTCCAACTCATCACCGATTCCGAGCCACTGACTGCAATCTTTGGTCCAAAGAAGGGTATACCGTCTCTTGCTGCACTCAGACTTCAACGATGGAGTTTGATTCTCATGGCGTATGACTATGACATCGTTTACCGTCGCACCTCAGATCATGGAAACGCTGATTTCTGTTCGAGGATGCCGAGTACTAGTACTAAGGACACTGCCCTTGGTGCAGAGCAACAAGTGAACTACTTCAGTCATGTGAATGATCTTCCTGTCACTGCAGAGGACATTGCTCAGGAGACTAAGAAGGATCCTGTTCTTTCGAAGATCTATATGTTTGCGCAGAATGGCTGGCCTGACGTACCATCTGAGAAGTCGGAGGATGAGTTCAAACCATACTTCAGAATTCGGAATGAGATTTCCTGTGACCAAGGTTGTCTAATGTGGGGTATGAGAGTTATAAGCCCACCGAAATTCCGTGTAACATTGGTTCGAGAACTGCATCATAAGCATCTTGGCATTGTCAGAACCAAGGCCCTCGCTAGGAGTTACTTTTGGTTTCCTAAGCTTGATGAGAAAATCGAGGACATGGTGAAGAGCTGTAGTGTTTGTCAGACGCTGAAGGCAGATCCGCCTCTGTCTCCTCTGTATCCATGGCGATACACTGACAAACCATGGTCCAGATTACATGCTGACTTTGGAGAGTACCGTCAGAAACACTATCTAGTTGTAGTTGATAGTTACTCGAAGTGGTGAAGATGAACACCACTACCGCAGAAAAGACTATAGAGGCATTCCGGAGCATATTCTGCACTCAAGGAATACCTGAGAAGCTCGTTACGAACAATGGTCCGCCCTATACATCTGAGGAATTTGAGAGATTCTGTGCTAGCAATGGCATCGAGCACATTCTGTCTCCACCATACCACCCCGCTACAAATGGGAAAGCGGAGAATGCTGTGAGAACTAAAAAAAGCATTTTCTGGACGATGAACAGAGTGGATTGTCCGATAGTCATAAGTTAGCTAACTTCCTGCTCACTTACAGATGCACGCCGAATTCTGTCACTGGTGTCACACCCGCTGAACTCTTGAACAAACGAAAACTTCGTACAAGTTGGGATCTTCTGAGACCTGATATGCGTAAATCAATCGAGAAGAAACAACAGAAACAGAAGGAACATCATGATGTTCGAGTTTACTTTCATGACTTTGAGAAGAATGAGATTGTCAGAGTGAAAAATTCCAGAGACAATGAGGTGAAATTTGTTCTGGGGACAATTCTCAAACGGCTAGGTCCGCTGCGCTATTTGGTTGCTGTTGCTGGTAAAGCCAGATTTGTTAATGCAGACCATATGCGTAAGACTAGTGAGGGGGATAGTAGTGACTCTCGTCAAGTGCCGAACTTTCATGATTATGATCGCTATCAAGTCTTGTCTGACTTAGCTACTTCTGAGCGACTGAACGATTCCAGTTTTCAAGAGACTGTAGAGACATTCAATTCTGCTGCTGTGGTTCCACCGCCAGAACCACAGACTCCCAAACCTAAGGCTGTCACCGCTAAGCCTGTCGAGAACAGAGGCATTGGGACTATGAGAGACTCGCATCCCGATGCAACTAACACACCTGTTAGACGCTATCCTGTGAGGGACAGAAAGCCCTCTGTGAAACTCAAGGACTATGTTACTGCGTAATCTGTCTAAGATTGGGTCTGTTTTTGAAATAGACTATAGTGCTCGGATGCACTGTTGACATTTGTGAAAATGTGGTAAAACTGATGTGAAATTGACATCAATCAGGATCAATATTCTGTTCTGTCAATACAATCATTCTATGTTTGCACTTTGTTTATGCATACTAACTGGTACAAGTAAACCTGTTAAAATCTGATTTCGTTACAGTCCATGTCACAACATGTAGGAATGAGTGTGTACATGTAATTCTAATTCCTGAGTCAATTATCTTTGAATATTCCTAGTATACACTAAGTTACAAATTCTGGTTGAGAGATTATATATTCCATGGTGGTTAGTAGCTTGGTTAAAGTTGAAGTAACAATTGGTTGAATAACTTCTACTGTATTTTGAAGTTGTGTGTTTTTACTTAAGATTGAGTTCAGTTGTTGAAACTAGAGAAAACACAAAATTGCCATTTGGGATATTATTTGGTTGATGGGTTAGGAGAACTAACTATTTAGTGTGGGGGACTGTGATGTATCCGCATTATTATGTAACAGCCTGTAATGTAACCTTATTTGTTATGCACGCATGCGCAGTGAAAATATATTGTGGAGTAATGGCAACCATGTTTCTTTTTCTGGGTTAATGACCTCCGCGAGAAATATGCAACACAATAAAGCCATAAAAATGCTAGGTCACCGCTGAAAAAAAGTTTTTCAATCGCTCCGTCAGACCATGTCATCAGAAAATGTCTAAAATCTGCCCTGTGCCCCGTTGACCTTTGACCTCCAATTTCACCACAGTGATGGCTTTTCCTACCATGATGCTATACACTGACTATCACGAGCCTAGGTTAAGCCGTTTAGAGTTGTGCCGCAATTCTGCATTTCCTCCCTATACCTTAAGTTAAGGAGCGAATGTTCCCCCTTCTTTTACACCTCTTGACCTTTGACCTTTGACCCCCAGCTTCGACATCATAACTCGTTTTGACGATCCCCTCCACAACGTCCCAAATATGGTGACCGTACGTTGTGCGGTTAAGATTTGTGCCCAACTGTTGACAGACGCACGCACGCACGGAAGATCATGCGATTCTACAAGCTGCATCTGACTATGTCAGATGAGCTAAAAAGCACCATTACCCAGCGTAATTATGGCATGTATTTTGTTTCATAATTCAATTTTTTGTTTTATGTTTGATTTTATCACATATAACATTGACGGATCGAATGCTTCGATTCACGGATCGAATGCTTTGATTCACGGATTGTATGATTCGATTCACGGATCGAAATATAGGAAAAGGAACGAGGTATATGAGGAGGGGAGAAGGTGGTACAGGAGGAAGGAGAGAAGGTAGAGGACGAGGGAGAAGGTAGTGGGGAAGGAGGGGAGAAGGGGTGGAGGTAGAAGAGGTAGAGGACGAGGGAAAAGGTAGTGGAGGAGGAGGGGGAGAAGGGGAAGAGGTCGAAAAGGGATACAGGAAGGAGGCCGAGGAGGAGGGTATAAAGTGGTGAAGGAAGAGGTAGAGGAGGGAGGAGGTCGAGGGAGAGAATGTGGTGGAGGGGAGGTGGAGTTGGGAGATAGGGGAGGGAGGAGGTAGTGGAGGGGGAGAAGGTAGAAGAGGGAGGAGGTCGAGGATGGTGGGAGAAGATGGAGGAGGTAGAGGAGAGGGAGAAGGTAGAAGAGGGACTAGGTAGAGGATGGTGGGAAAAGGTGGAAGAGGTAGAGGAGAGTGGGAGAATGTGGAGGAAGTAGAGGAGGGGGAGAAGCTGGTGGAGAAGAAGGGGGAGGAGGTGGTGGGGAAGGAGAAGGGGAAGAAGGGGGAGGAGGTAGAGGAGAGGGAGGTGGTGGAGGAGGAAGAGGGGGAAGAGGAGGAAGAGGAGGAGGTGGCGGAGGAGGAAAGGGAGAAAGTGGTGAGGGAGGGAGGGAGGGAGGGGGTCGAAGTGGTGAGTGAGTGAGAGAGGGAGGGAGGGATCGAGATGGTGAGTGAGTGAGAGGAAGGGAGGGAGAGAGGGGGTCGGGGGTTGAGGTGGTAAGTGAATGAGAGAGGGAGGGAGGGAGGGGGGAAAGAGAGAGGGAGGGAGTGATCGAGGCGTCTTGTGCTCACCGGCCGGCCCGGAGAATGCACAATACATTGTAAGCGGGCAAATCCCACACGCCAGGGAAGTGATGGCGATGCGGGCACGCAACCGTCATGGGGAATGTACAAAACAGAGACGGGAAGGCCAGCGGTCGGGCCCGAAATCAAAGTGAGCCGTGGAACGGTACAGAGCCGGCCGGCCGGAAAGCACGTAATTCCGTGAATCGAACCATTCGATCCGTGAATCAAACCATTCAATCCGTGAATCGAATCATTCGATCCGTGAATCAAAGCATTCGATCCGTGAATCGAATGATTCGATTCCAGAATCGTATGGTTCGATTCGCAGATCGAATGATTCGATTCCAAAACCGAATGGTTTGATGCCAGGATCGAATGGTTTGATTCTCTTTTCTGATATAAAATCAAATAATGTGAACATTTAAAACAGGGAATTATTGTCGATTTATTGCATATAACATATGATTAAATAATCAAATATTATATGCGATAAAGCAAATGTTATATGCAATAAATCAAATGTTATATGTGATAAATCGAATGTTATATGTGATAAAATCAACCATAAAACAAAAATCGAATTATCAAACAAGTGCCGCAGAGCGACAGCGCTCATCTCACGTCTACTGCGGTGACTCTGTGGTGGAGTGGTGGGATTCTAGTAAACCCTGTTAGTCCCAAATGTGTTCACATACGCGCCGAAACAGTGGAAGGCACAGGGTATCAGGAACCTTCTCGAAGGAATGTTCATTGGGATCGTTATGAAAGTTGCCACGAGATGGCGCGTACGTTTAAGTGTCTTAAGATTAAAGATGGAAGCTCCCATCGTACGTAGTAGCAACAGCTATTTGCAAGACATAACAGGTAAGCACTCATCCATTTACCTACGCAAGCCTACAGGCTGAAATAGAGAGCTGCCACCTGTAACTAATTAACGCATTGTACGTACACACGCACGCACGCATGTGTACGTGTCGCTGCATTTATGAGTGTTGAACGCAATCATACAAACGAAAATGTGGACACTATCACATCCCCCAGCACTCATGTAGACAGAGCTAGACGAGCCATATGGTTTAAATACAAGAGAGGCGTCAGTTTGGTTCCTATCGGTATGTGTCGCACAGTGTGATTGGTTTATGCTATGGTTGGCATGCTTGGTTTACACTGGAATTCATCAACATTTGCGTACGCAGGTGCTACGCTGCGTTGATGAATCGCACCTACGAGCTTTGCGTACGTGCTTCGTAGAAACTCGGTGTACGCAATACACTTTACGCAACGTTGATGAATCCGGCCCCAGGTGCGGCCGCGCGCGAAATTTTTTTCCCCACGAGAGTTCCGGACCCCAGCCAATCAGCGCACTCCATTCACTCGACTACCTCGAAGCAACAATGCAAAATTTATACAACCTAACCCTAACCCTAAAACTAACCCTAACCCTAACCCTAACACTAACTATAATACAACCAGGTCCGTCTTATATACGCACCATATATTACAAAACACTATCTGTGGTGGGTCCGGAACTCTCGTGGGGAAAAAAATTTCGCCGGCCGCGCGTCGCCACGATGGCGTCCCGGCGTCCCTTCGTCGCGTCCTCATATATAAATATTATCAGGAGTAGATAATATAGAAGATTCTTATCTTCTATTATCTACTCCTGATATTATGTATATATGTCGGCGGAATCAAGCAGTGAAATGCAGGGCAGGGTAAAAAGCTGGGTTTACACTGACGATTTTATGCAGGAGACTTGGCTTTTTTTTTCTTTCTACCAACCTCTCTATAAATATTCAAAGCGCTATCGCCGCGGCGCGACCGCGAGGCGGCAAACGTTTCAACATTTGACGCGTAGGTACGCGCGAGGCGACGCCGATACGAATTTTTGCATGTATTCCACGCCCTCCTGCTGGCGCCGTGGCGGTAGTCTCGTACGGTAGTCTGGCGCCGTGGCGGCCGCCTTAACGCGCGCTCGCGGCACGGTAACTCGAACAACGCCAGTAGCGCTGATATTACCCTAACCCTAACTCTAACCCTAACCATATCAGCTGCAGCTAGATAGTT